ATCTGAACCCCTTCACACGTCTTAGAAGATGCGCATCCCCCGCTCACCAAGGACCACATTTTCCAAAGCAACCTAAAAGTCACTTTATGGGAGGATAATTTTATATCATTGTAACTCATACTTATAATTTTCTCGTTGATTTTGCTTATATTTAATTACTTATTTGATTAATAAATTAAAATGATTAAATGCAAGTATTCATTTGTAAAGATTAGATATAACTATATAATATTTGTTGCTCTGTAACTAGATCTGAAATCTTATAATTATATATATTATCCGTCTCTCTTTTTTATTCCAAAGGCCCCTCCATGTCCACTCTGCTATCTTTTCAACTTCATTGTGTTGTCTTTTCTGATTATTTCTTTTTTTATGATATGATAGTAGTAAAATATTTTCTTTCCTACGAGATTATTAAGTACGTTATATCCTTCACCAAAAAAAAAAAAAGTACGTTATATCCTTCACCAAATACGGGGGGAAATATTAACATATTTATATTAGTTTTGCCGTTATGGTTATTTTTTGCCAAATCTTTTTTTTTTCTTTTTAGCAAGAAAATAGATATTTTCGCAGTACACAAAATGTGCTAATGGTGGTAGATGTTCATAGGCTTTCAAAAACTGCATTCTGGCTTCTACATAATGTATATGATTGATTGAAGGGAATAACTTCATTAATTTACTATTAGTATATTTTCCAACACTGTGGGAAAAGACTGTTTTAACATTTGTAGAATTTTCCATGACTGATAATTCACTAATTTGATGTTTTTTTTTTTTTTTTTTTAAATTAATTTGATGTTTTTAGACTATGGGATATTCATGACTCTCCAAGAAAGACGTTTCTGACTTAGTGTTATTAATAAAGAATTAATATTTTTCATATTACATGATATAATTTTATTTCATATATATATATATATATATATATATATATATATATATATAGATAGGGACTATGTGGGGTCATATTAGGGGTGTTCATCAACCGATCCAAACCGATTCAAACCGCGAAAATCGAACCGAAAAATCGATAACCGAATAAACCGAAAACCGAAAAATTGGAAACCGAAAGAAAACTGCAAATTTTAATTGGATTGGATCGGTTTTCGGATGAGTTGATGAAAACCGATCCAATCCAAACCGATCCAATATATTAATTATTCTCTACCTACTTGTTCTTTCTCCGATCATAGCCCAAAAATTTCTAAACTCAAGACCCATTAACTCATCAACTAAACCCAAAAAAAAACTTAGTCACGTCTCATCAACTATGGTATTGTTTACTGATATTTTTGTATTTCAGATTTTTTTTTTTTTTACAAAGCCAATATATACAAGAGATGTTATTTGCACAATAATCATGAAACTTATTTTAGGATTTTCAAAAAACCGAAAACCGATCTAATCTAAACCGAAAAAAATTGGATTGGATCGGATCGGATTTGAAAAAAAATCTAAACCGAATGGATGATTACATGATCAAACCGAAGGGATTGGATCGGATGAGTTTTGCTTCCAAAATCGATCCAATTCAGACCGCGAACACCCCTAGGTCATATGATGAGAAAAAAATGAGTCTCAGACATTTTTTTATATGTGTAAGAGAAAAAATTATCTCCTATAATATGAGAAACATTAATCCCTATTAATAATCACTCAAATATTTTATGCAATTAACAACTTTGAAAAACTATATTTATTCCTTAAAACAATGTCATTATTCTTTAGATTGTTGTCAGATCTCAAGCACCTTATTTACATTCTCCACCCATCTAGACTTTAATTAAGAATCTGTTTGGATTTTTTTTTTAAGTTAAAAATTATTTATAAGTAAAGTTAGGTCAAATAAATTTTGAGAAGAGCTCTTATAATAAAAATCTCTATTTTTATAATAAAAAAAGCTAAAAACAAAAAGCTCCAAGGATGAGTTTTTTTTGAAGCTGTTATTTACTTTTTTTTGAATTGTGTGTACTTTTTTGAAATGAAGAGTTGTTGAAATAGAAAGAGTGCTTGTGTTTTCTTGAAACATGTGCTTTTAAATAATTTTTAAACTAAAAATTTTGAGTAATTACCAAATAATTTTTAGTTTTTTTTTTTAAACTTTAATTTATAAGTAGCTTCTAGATTGAAAAAGAAAATATGCAAAAGAAGCTCTAATAGAGATATGTAATAGCCATTGTCAAAATCAGATGCTCCCTATAATTATAAACTTTTTGGAGTCATTTACCTTAAAATTTCAACTATATATAAATGTGTGTGTGTTTGTGTGCTGTTGGCTAAAGATTACCAATTAATTGATTTGTTGATTGCTATCTTTGATTTTGAACAAACACGTTTTATATCTTCGTAAGAGGCATTGTATGGTGATGATGATTATGAAAATAACAGGAATTGGGATTTTGACAAAGAAATATAGGGTTATAATAACGATAAAAATGGCGACCACAATAATGAAGATTGCTATAGATTAGATGAACTTCATATTTTATTACAACAAGAGAAGGATCACTCTTAATCATGAATAGTATATTCACATTTATATTAGATGATAATCATCTATGCAATATCGATGATAATCATCATTGCTTAAAATCCTTTAGAAAACGACCTGACATACAAATACTTTATTTTTCACAAGATCACATCATTAGAGATTGAAACTTTAAACCCTTTAGCTTATGCAGACCAAAAACTTTATGTATGACCGTTTAAGTATGATTTATGTAAATATATATATAAAAAAGGAAGCGTGATTTTTTTAACAATTTAAATTTGTTCATAAATTAATACTATTCTGACTTAAATTTCATATATTGCTAAGGAAAACATAAAAGCCACAATTTGTTTTGCAAAATAATTGTGAATTGGCATTATTTTTTACTCTTAAATAAGCGAGTGATATCTAGCACTTTGATTAACTTATCTAACAATTTTCTTTAAAATTTTACAAATTCTCACCGAATTCTGTAATTTATTTTTTTTACTGTTTTGCATTACTCTATATTGCTAAATAGTGATATATCATATATAGTTTTTTATCCATTGAAAACTTGCGTATTGGCTTTTTATATATTATTAGAAAGTTACATTTAACACATTAACTTAATTGTTGCTTTTTCAATTTTCTAATTTTAATATATGTAAGTAATAGTTTTTCTAGTCGTAAGTGTTTTCATATAGAATAATATTACATCTATCTGCAAAAAAATTCACATTTGATTATAATTATTCCTACTTCATTTTTTATATATTTTAATTTTTCCTTCAGTTATAGTGATGTGAGGAGATGTCACTTGTTACTGACGTGTAAGCATTTTCTTTCATTTATATAATAATTAACGAGCAGAAGTTGGCTCAGTAAATATGACAAAGAAGTAACTCTTTTTTGTTGTCTGTCAAAGTTGGAAAATTTGGTATTTAGTGGTTAAAATGACTACAGATTTGGATATATGGTTAAAGTTCAAATCATAATGTGAAAACCAGTTTCTTAAGTACTAATTAAAAGTCTAACTAATTAATTAGCATGAAAACTTACGCTTGACGTACCTTTGACACTTGATTCGACAATTTGCTTATGGCTAACATAAACATTTCCTTTGTCACTTAGCAAATCCATCAAAACTAGTTTTAAGCACGTGTCGTTATATATAAAACATAGCACTACTAGAAAAAAATTTGTTTAGCGACGACATTGATGTGAAATTTTCGTGCAATTATTTTTTATCATAAATTCTTTTGCAAACGAGGTTTGTGATCGAATTTGTTAAGAAAATCAAATTAGTCATGAATTTTGCGAAAATTTTTTTATTAAAATTCTGTCACTATACACATGTTTAGAAGTGTAGGTTATTGGTGAGGATCTAACTTTATCACTTCATTGCTTCTTACAGTCATATCAATCACCAAACATTTGCATCCATTTTTTTCCCCTGAAATTACAAGTAACTTTCATATATTCAACTCATTTAATGAATTGCCTGTAAAATTAATTTTCATTTGGTGACGTGAACATGAGAGTTATGCCACCTCTCCACAAAAAACTGTTTTTCCCCCTTCCATTTGAACTTTTATTTTCGTCTCAAGTAGTTGAAATTGCTTACCACCACAATCCATTTATTGTGGGTCAGTTGTACCCCTTGAGTGCAATAATATATTTAGCCATACATATATAGTTAAGAATGCGTGTGAGAGAAAGATAAAAAGAAAGATATGTGCAAATAATACATTTAAAGAGTGATGATAATGCATCACATCTTGACATATTGTTTAATTGTCATTTATCTCTTTTATTATATAATTTTATAAATATATTTATTATAAGTAATGTGGGTGGATATAGATTGGTAAAACTAGCTATTATTACACTTAAATTCGCACTCATACTTACAAATCTTTGCAAGTAATTATCTAGATTCAAACTCATTGGTACACAAAAAAATCTTTTCCATTGCGAGTAAATTTTGTAAGTACTTATTGAATTCTAATCCAATTGTCATCGCTAACTTTAAGAGCCTTTTAAGGCATAGATCTAAAGATATATCCTTTTTACTAAGATTAATTTGATCTGTTATTCCTATCAAGAATCTCAACATCTAGAGACAAAGGGAAAGTTGTCGTATTAATAGTACTTTTGTGTACAAATTGCCAATCCTGATAATCGTGCTTAATTAAGTACTCATTAAGGATAGGGGGTGTGATCAAATTCATCAAAAGGACATCTCCATCACCTTTTTGGGTTTCCATAGCCCCTCCACAAAACAACAACACAGTAAGGTACACACAAGATAACATGTCTTGCTAACTAGGTCCCCCTTTCACATTTCATGCAATGAACCTACCCTTAACCTTTTCAAGTTACCCATATACTCATTATTATTTTTATTTTATTTTTTAGTAGACACCCATGTATTCATTATTACCCTGCCCTTATTGTGCATGTTGCTTTAATTTTAAAGAAGGCATATTTTTCCATAACAGTGAAGCAAAATCACCATGGAACAATTCCAAACTAGTTCACCTCTCATTCACTGAAAATGGATAAGTACAGTACAGATTTTACAACCATAGATAGAACCCATGCTACCTACACTCAACTAGCTCCTCTTGTACTACTATACATTGCACAACTTTCGCTAAAGTAAATTATAAAAGAAAAAAAAAGATTTAGAGACCAAAACATAGGTAGTAGTCATCTAAATGCAAGAAAGGGCTCAAAGGCTTGATCAAACTCAGCAGGATCACATAAGACATCAGAAATAACATGACTTGGTGAGTTATCAAAAGTGAACTCTGAAGGGAGGAAGTAATCATTGGAGGAAGATGAGGGAGGGTTAATCTCATCCTTACACTCCTTTTTCACTGATGATGATGTTGATGATGATGATGGAAAAGAAGATGAGAGAAAGGGGCAATCTTGTTTGGCTGGATTAGGGAGGGTGTTGTCAAAGCTAAGGAATACAGAAGGGCCAGAAGAAGCAATTGGATCCAGTATGATCTCAGGGTTTAGCATGTTTCTACAAGTGTGGTTTCCATAATAGGTTGTCCTGTGAAGTGGAGGATCATCTTGAATTCTCTGAACCTGTTTTGTTGCTTGGCAACTTTGATCAAATTTGTGAGTGCATCTGTAGTAGTTCCTGAAAATTTGTCCACAAAACAAAACCCAATTAGGCTCAGAAGATATATTGAGAGATCAAGAAGAAACACCATCATAAGATGAAAATAAATACAAATATGAATCGTAATTAGGTAGAAATAAATATAATCGTTGAATCAGCATAATCAGCATAATCAATCTAACGATGAAACAAACTGATAATGATATTAATAGTAATACTAATTGGTAGTAACAATATCATATCTCATAAATTAATATACATATATATTATACCTTGGATATTTGGTATTTAGGATCACTTTTTGGCCATACTTCCTCCATTGATGACCATCTTCAATTGGAGTTTCAGATTCCTTCTCCAACGATTGTGAAGTTCTTCTGCTAACATGAATTACAGATTTTAGATAAGATAAACTATATGATTAGTTCCCAAAACACAAAAACAATTAGAACAGGATATACAATCATTTTCACGGTGCAAGCTAAAACCAAAAGAGTAAAGAAAAATGAACAAACAAATAACAGACAAGCCTAATTACAACATAGTCCTTCATTGCATGTGAATATATAATGAACAATAATTGATGGGGTCCAATTGTACGCATGTTTAGAGGACAAATAATAACAAAGTCTTAGGTTATCATATTAAAGAGGCATATATGTTAACAGGAACAGTTCAATTTTTATTTTATTCTTTTTATATTAATCATAATTACTTCTTTAAAGCGGGTCACTCCGCACATTCCTATGAATTTTAATTTTTTGAGTTGATTATCAGACTAATTCAAATTGAGATTTAATCATGGTTAAAACGAATCGAACTTGAATTCTCTGGGCAGAGAGAAGTAAAATTTAGGTAAGGAATAAAAAAAGGGATTCCAAAAATAAAAGCATCAGCTAACTAAAATGTTTTCTGAAATCAAGAAGGGAAGGATTTGTACTTATTTACATAACCCCACCAAAAAAAAAGAACCAAAAAGGGGAAGAAAAAATACTATTGAAACCATATATGTAATTAAGTAGATGCAGAATGAAAAAAATTACCTTCTTTTGTAACACCCTCTTTTTTCCTTAAGGGTGGAAGTTTTGCAGTTACTCTCTTGAGAGTCCTCAGAGTTAGAGGGATTAATATCATGGGATTGAGAAGTGGGATTGTTCAAGAACAAGAGTGAATTGGAAAAGGACATGAGCACCTCCTTCACAAGATGTTCGGCAAATGGGGTTGTTGTTGTTGTTGCTGCTAGTTTTTCATCACATCCATTGTTGATGACACTTTTAAGCTGTTTGGCCAAATCACGCCCTCTGAGTAGTTCCTCAATTACCCTTTTACTACCCATGTAATTGGAACTTTGGGAAAAAAAAAAAATTGATTCTCTCACAAACCTTTCCTTTGTTCTTCTCTTTGGAGTCACACAAGTTTTTGTCGCTGCACTTACACTGAAATGTGAACTCTTTCTTACATGGGGTTGGTCTTTTTATTACGAGGAAAAAACAAACGTGGAACCAAGTTGTTGCAATTTTTGCACATGCTACGAAGTTCCACAGGAACCTTCGCATGAAAGTTCATGCGCCCCTTCAACACGAAATCAGCTTCTCCCATCTCCACCTTAACGCGTGCAACACACAGCGATTCAAGTTGTGCCACGTGTGCACTATCTGGTTTGGGATTTCTGCGTGGGAGGATGGCGCGCGTCGGTCTTGAAGCTTACGGGAGCATGGATGACGTCAGCGTGCTGAGCCCTAGGTGACGTCGTGGTGACAGGTGGCGCTCTTTGATTGGGGATTGAGTCACCACCCGAAACGTTGGTGGTGGAAAGACGGTCTTGCCCTTGGCTGGGAATTTTATAATTTATATAATAGTTGGGAATACGGACAAGCAAAGGGTAGCTAACAGATCAGAGTCTGAAGCACAGTGCAATATCGGATAAGGATCACAAACGCAGTTCATCGCACGGCTATCAATCATTCTCGGTTTAGCACCTCAATATAGAAAAATATTATTTTTTTTTATATAAGGTAATTTCTCTTGTGTTCTTTCACTATAATTTTCGCACCTTATATTTTATTTTATTTTGTAATTGTGAAACCTATTTATTTTCTCTCTATAACATAAGATAGTTATCTTATGTAAAAAGAGACTAATAAAGCCCTAATAGGAAAATCATATATTTATGTTGATGGAAAAAAAATTATCTTATGTCATCCATTATAATTATATATTTTAAAAAATAAATAATTATAAAAAAAAAATTTAATATTATAACTATGTATTTTCTGAATTGCATAATTAAAATGGGTGGATAAGATAATTTTTTTTTAGCAACATGAAAAAAAAAGAGCACATCATAATATCATCTATGCACAAACATTACATAAAAACTTTTGGTACAAACTTACCCTACAAATAATGGTATGATGTAAAAATTCAAATATTTATTCAACATGTAATAAAAAGTGGATTACTTATTGATATAATCTACGCATTTTTTATTGTATAACAATTTGTCGAACATAAGAAACTCTTCTATTTCATTCCAAGTTTAAATTTAAACTACTTGTCCGCCGTTCATGGCTATGCACATGATCATCAGATTCTCTCGAGTTAGGGAACCCCGATGTAGTCACGTGCCCCCTCTGCGTAAAAGATTCGGGTAGATATATACACGTGCTTTACTTCTAATTACATATATTATACCGTTTTCTCTTGTATGACTTGATTCTCATAATAGTTCTTTGGTATAAATTTACTTCTGTCCCTTTAAATTTACTCAATTAAAAGTTGCTGCTATCATTTGTTCAAGACCACCTTTGCCACGACCTCTACATACTTTTTGTCAAAACTACCAGCTAGTCACTAGATTGTGTGAATTCAAGAAACAATAAGTGTGAACTAATTGCTCAGAAGACTTTTGTTGTAAGATTCAATCTTGCCGTTATATTGAAGTCAAGCCATCTACATTCAGATTCAGTTTAATTACAATTTAAAAAAAAAAAAAAAAAAGTCATATATATTTCAAAAGTCAAGAGAGTGCATTCAAGAAAATGAAAGCAACTTCCGATAAAATTTGACTGAAGTCCATTATTTTTCAGGGACTAACTAAATTTTCTTTTCAGTTGAGGCTAATTTGAAGGATGATTAGACTAATAATTCAATCTTCCGATGAAGAAAATATCATTTTAATTGGATTAATTTAGTGCTTTGCACACGTCATTCCCCAATAATGCATTAATTTAAAAATGTTTTAAACGAGTTACTGCTTGAACGTGCTTTAATTTTAATATCTATTACTTTAGAATCTAGTTAAACAAAAAAAATTCCATGCCTAGATTTTTAGCTTTTTAGTAGTTTAGTTAGATAGCAAAACGAATAATTGAGTGGCGTGCGTTCAAGTGTGGCTTTATCGTCTACTTTACTTTCCTTTCATTTTTATCTTTTTCTTGAGACATTCTATTCTTTAAGGACGTTTTCAATCCTGACTTTTACATAACTATTATACTCCTTAGTTACACTATACTCTCTCCCATACCCCTCCTCTATGGACCCATGGATCTTTATCATGTGGCCACAGTTCCACTGATAAAATTCCACCCACATCAAAATGATGGAGATACCTGAGTCTGAGCCTCTTCCAACCTCTATCTCCTATTTACCTTCCAGGCTCGAGGCATTCGAAAAGCCAGGCCAGCTAATTACTATCCTTGGCATCATAAACTTGCCATGTGCTGCTTCCCCGCCATATAATCGTATGTAAGAATGCCAAGCATTTGTTCACATCAGTGCAATGTGCTTCTGCAACTCATCTGGAGAATTTAGACCAGAAAAGATCAGGACCGAGCACAAATAGATTTAATGGGAAACAGACTCACTCATCTTAATCATGTAGAAGTGTGTGCATGACATTCTTCCCTCCACATCCTTACATATAAACAAACACAAATAATGACACATACTCTCTTGTATGACAAATAAAAAGCCCTAATTACATGAAAATTTCTAAAAAACACAGATTTGTGACATGCAGTGGTAATCACTAAGTCATCAGCCCGTTAAAAAACTTCAACTGCAAACATGTTTTGTTGACAAAATAAAAGAGAGATATTCACACAGGGCATCCAACAAAATCCATCCTTGGCCAAAAGAGGTTCAATAATCATCCAAACTAGAATAAGCCGATTGAGATTCCTATGGACAACTGGCCGACAGAACTCAAGCCAGCGCCAGACTGCATTAATTATTACCAAATTTTATCGAACCCTCATAACCCAGTAGGATTGAAGGATCCTTGTTTCAGGTTTCAACTAGAAGAAGCAAATTCTATTGGACCACTAGCAGCTACCAAATGACAATTAGTCCTCCTTCAGAATAAGTTGTATGAAAACTGACTAAATTCAAAGATGCATTTTGGAGGAACACATCCATCTTTCATTGCGAAAATCTATTACCGTTTATGTAAACAAAATTACGAGTCCAAGCTAATAATTAAAATTGATTCATCTATGCCTAGGATACACCCTGTGACAGTTAAAATAAAATCAATCAGTTTCTTAGATCAAGCCAATCAGTTTCTTAAAAAAAATCCATATTTAAATAAACTCCTATTTTCTCTCCACTTTCTTATCTTTTAAGTACTGCCATTATCCCACTTCTTACCTCTTTCAATGGCATGTACATTTATTGTGTGCTCACTCCCAAATACAAACAAAATGAGGGCAGAAGAGCACAAGCGATAATTTATTCAACCAGCCCTAAGTTCTAATTGTGTATTATACCTAACACAATGAACAGCTTTTTCTCAACAAAGATCTACAGTTACCTCTATTAGCAGATTTATGTTAAGAGCATAGGACCTCAAAATTCTAAAACCTACAGCACCAGAATCAAAATCACCACTTTTATGAAGACAGGGATGTTGAATATCCTTGTAAGATTGGACTAATTTATGATAGTTTATGGACAATTTAAAAATCTAAAATTAAGTAACTCTTGGCTATAGACAACCACTACGTCCAAGGAAAACTAGTTTACAGAAAATAATATTAGAAAAATGGAAAAAACGAACCATGATATGCCCTTACCTGGTCATCTGTACAACTGACTGCCACAAGAATGCGTTGTGGACGACAAATGCAGGGGAAGCCATTTCAACTGAGATTTCCTTAGTTTATATAAGTGACACTAAACATCAGTAACACAAGTTAACTGGAAACTTGTTGCCTTGACTGCAAATGATCATGTCCTTTTCTCACCAACTCAGCTTCTCTAGCTATCTGGATATCAGAAGGCCAAAAGATTTGACAAACAACTTTGCAAGTAAAGCGAGGAAGCAATGCCACGATTATTATAAGCAAAATTGTAATCCAATATGTAGGGGACCTTGCCAAATGATAAATAGTCCTGCAAAGATTTCGAGACACATTAGTCATATTATATCCTAAAGTACTGCTTCATCTATAATCCAAATACTAATAGAACACATGTAACTAACCAGTAATTGGGAAATACAGGTATAGAATCCAATACCACCATGCAACCGTATGTAATGATTATTGATCCCCATACAGCAACATGAGTAATTAATACCCAACGGTTGATGTCCATAGCCAGGTGTATATTTACAAGGATAACAACTGCAATTGTCCACAAACTGCCCATGCTCCATATATCAATTGAGCTGTCCTTATAGGTGAACAACGGTGTGTAAAAGAGAACAATGCTCTGCCATACTGTATCAATCATTGTGATCCAAAATAATTGCATATTGTATGCTTCTTGCCTGTGACCTGTACCATACAATTTAGGATACTGCAAGAGTGTCCTATGACTCAAGTCTTTGTCCAGAATACCAACAATAATAGTAGGTACAGATGTGTATAACACAGAATAGAATACACTACTCCAATCCGTCAATGCCGAAGTTGTAGAAAAAGCCGTGCATAATATATACCTACAGACAAGGAAGAAACTAGATTAGAACGTATAAAATCTCATAAAACCTGTAATTATTATTAAAACCCAATAACTTCTATCTTTGAGTTTGAGCCCAAAAATTTATCATACACCCTATACATATTGCACATTTCAACATGAAAAGAATACAGAAGGAAGAAATGTATTATTTCCAGACATGTTGGCACCAGAATATAACAAGACAGGGTTGTATAGACAAAAGTTAAGATCTAAATATGGAAAAATCCTTCTATCAATTAGCTGTCCATAGCATATTATATGCAGAAATAATGAAAATCGCAGGTTTCTAGTTCAAGCTTTTGCCCAAATGTCTGAGATCAGGGAGAAAGAAAGAAAGGAAAAAGGAAAGTCAAGCTCATATAAAACACAAGAGGAAGTCAACTGTAATATCCAAAGAAAACAATACATACCAGAATAACATCAATACAAAGACAGCATTACGGTAGAAGTTGTACAGAACTAAATAACCAACACGCTGATAATTCCAGTGCCCATGAACCAGAAGTAATTTTTTCAAGAACTGAAATTGCCCCATAGCAAAATCTGATGCCATCACTGCTTGACGCCCTTCCTGCCCACATATTCCAACACCAACATCTGCCATTTGGATCATTGACACGTCATTGGCCCCTGTCAGAAGGATTCAAAACAAAAAAAATTAAGTTCATATCAAATCAATGCTTATTTCAAAGTGCATCTGGCTACACTTGTGCAAAGCTTGATGTTCTAAACCTATAGACAAATTATTGTCAACCATCAATGAAATTCCCCAAGAAAATCCAAATGCAAAGTAAGAGCAATTTCATGTCATTATAAAGAACTTACCATCACCTATGGCCAGTGTCATATCATCCGTGCGGCTCTTTATCAAATCAACAATTCCTGCCTTCTGCAAGGGTGCAACACGACAACATAGCACTACCCTACAGGAAGTTGCAAGGTCGAAAAGCTGTTGCAAGGAAAAAGGAAAACAGTCAATATTTACCCTGAAGTTTTATTTAACAACTCAGATCTGAAGTACCAGTACATGCACCTACAACAACTATGACAACAAAAGAAATCCTTAGATGTCCAATACACATAAGTATTCCAAATAAAAACTTCAATTGAGGAAGGATAATCTTACCTCTGACTCCAGTTCCTTCTCCAAAATATAAACCAAACTGTTTCCATCAATTATGAGTGCCAATGGAGCATTAATTTCTTCTTCCTTTCCTGGATTCCACTTGGGCAAACTCAATGACTTTGAGCCATTGGGAATATCAAGATTACAATGTGCAGCATTGCTTTTGTGCTTCAGATTCTGATGCCCTCTACTTGAAGATGTCACACAATATTTGGCTTTAGCATCACCCAAAAGATTTCTGCATTCAGTCTCTGAAGTGCCATTTATAATAATCCGTTGCATATCTGCACTGAGAAGTTTGCAGGAAAGACCAATAGAAATTGCAGTCTCTTGCTTATCACCTGTAAGAACCCAGACCTTAATTCCAGCTTGCCGCAGGGACTCAATGGCTTCTGGTACACCATCTTGGAGCTTGTCCTCAATTCCAGTTGCTCCAAGTAGCTTTAAATTGCATTCTATAAGAGCTGCTGTTTGACGCAATTTAGTAGCTCTGTCAGTCAATGAAGTGCTTGCCTCTTCATACCTACTTTGCCACTCCTCAAGTTCAGCATCTGAAAGATCCCTGGAGGCAACTACAAGAGTGCGCAAACCTTCGGAAGAATATTCACTCAAATGGCTCTGAGTTGCATGTAGTATGCTATCGTTGCTCTCACTGCCATTTGCTAAAATGCTAAACATTGAAGAATCAGCACCTTTGACTAACACCTTTACAACATTGTCGGGAAACCGAATAACAACAGACATTCTCTTTCGCACACTATCAAACTCATGCAGGCCCAATACGTCCAATCTATATACCACACAAAGATAATGAAGTTACTCAATAATCTAGATATAGAATATGCACAAAGTACTAGAATATCCAATGTACATAATACAGTTTCATTAATTATACATATCCAACATTGTTAAAGAAAAAAGTAAAATATGTAGTCCCCCACCAAAAGAAGGTCACTATCTACCTGAGTTTCTCACCGTTGACATCAATAACAATATGTCCGGATGTTCGCTCAAAAAGAGTATATCCATATGCAGAGGCAGCAGAAACTAGAGCTTGCTCATCAGGAGATTCTCCCTGGTAGTCAATATGTTTTATATCTTCAATTGATTCACTTGTTCCACAACTGGAAAATCTACCATCACTAGGTATAGGGATCACAGTATTACAAGCAGCCAACGTAAGAAAAAACTCGTGAACAGCAATCCTTTCATCTCTATTTGAGTCTTTCTGCAACACTGTCATCAATTCAGAATCAACTGCGATTTCAGATTTGAGCTTCCATCTCCGTTTAGGAATAACAGTTGCTGCTGCTGCTGCAAAATAGAAAATTATTGAAAAAGAAATTATTGAAGAGAATGCTAATTTCATCATTTAAGCAGAAGAGCATTACGAAATTGAACAAGGAAAAGAAAACCATCAGCTAAATCACAGGAATGAAGGCAGTCAAAAAAGGAAAAACTAACGCATTTCATATATTTACAGAAGAAATCAAAATTTTCTCACAACCCCAATGCCATAAATAAAAGTTAGCCTTTCAGTAACAAGGATTTCAAACTGCAATAGCATAACAAGTGATAATTCCACTGCACCACATCATCAAGCAGTATAATGATCTTCAGAGGAGACTGAATACCTGTATTATTATTAGCCATAAGCAATGAGGTCCCATAATTCTTCCCATATACACTAGCCCTCCGAAATTCCATTTTGTTTTCTGTTAGTGTTCCTGTCTTGTCCGAAAATACATAGCGTATTTGACCCAAATCTTCATTTATATTTAATGATCTACACTGAAACCTTGATCCAGACCTAGCATCATACATATCCAAGTCTTCAATCATGAAGTATGACTGACCCAAACGAACCAACTCCATTGTGATGTAAAGAGATATCGGTATCATTATCTGAAACACAATAACAGAACTCAAAAAGGAGAAAAACACTTCCATCGGTATCCCATAATACTTGTATTTGTTTCCATTATCTGGCCCATTGTTGAAGTAACTTTTTCTGTAGTAAGGCAAGGTATCAAGCTGGTTCTTGTGGCGTACCAGCCAAAGACCCATCCCAAGGGCCACGACCAAACACATAATAAAAAGAAAAACTGACAACCAAAGGGTTTCTCTGTTCATGTAACTTTCCAATCTGCTTCTCTTGGAAGGAGAAGCTGCACTGTTCATCATTGCTTTTGTTTCCTGTCCCGCATAAACTACAACACCAATTATCCAATCCGTGTTCTTCAGTTGGCAACCACGCAGAACAATGTTTGACTGGCTAAGGGAACACTTAACTCCATTGAACTCCATGTTGGCCGTGAACTCATAAATATTCCGGTTAGGTTGCTCGCATCTAATAACCCCAAAAACAGCACAAGTTTCTGATGAAACTGCTGAAGCTGTTTCCTGCTTGGCATACCTTGTCTTCAAATTCGATTCTCCATCCAAATTCATTGTCTGAATATAAGCAAGCCCACTTTGATCACTTGTCCCCAACAAGACCATGTCAGCTGGGATTGTCTCATCGGCAAAGATCTTAACAATCTCACCAGCCTGTATTTTTTTCCACTTCTTCGATCGGAAATCCCCGGATTGAAGAACCAGAGACTCTCGGTTGTTTTCATTACGGTCCGACCTGTGCCTCCGCCAATCCTCATAACCATCCTTAATAGCGGTGACGCAAAGCACGAACAAGAGGGGGAAAAGAGACACTGTTCTCCCAAACACAGCCAGGGGAGGAAGCTGATTGAGAAAGGCGATGGCAAGGAAATACAAATAAGCAACCCGATGAAACTGAATAAAGAGATTCTTGGGCAAGAAGGTGACAATGGTGTATTTACTAGTTCGGATCTCATTCCCAGTGAACTCATACTTGTCATTTGTCTTCTTGGGATCATTGATATAGATAAGCCTAGCACTATCTTCATGTAAAGCAACATCATCAAAATGCACACTTTTGTGACGAATCCTCTGAGATTTATTCAACCTGTCATGCACTCTAGATGAAGTTCCAGTTCCAGTTCCAGTTCCAGTTGCAGATATTTCAAAGGGCACACTACGGCTATTTGCATCACGCAGTTGTTCCATTGCACCCCTTGATGATACCAAGCGTGTGGGGCATTCCAAAGGAAACTGCCCCGATTCAGAAGAGTGGAAGTCCCTATCAGCTGAGAAAGAGGAGGAGCTATTACCAAATGCAGAGTGGAAACTACAGTCTCTAGCCAACACAACGTTACGGTCTCTGTCCTTCACGTCAAAGTCGCTGATCTGAGATAGAGCATCGTCAAAGACGGAAGATGAGAATGAAGCATTGCCGCAGATACAGCCTCTGGATCCTGATTTCCGATGGCGGTGATGAATCACTCTTGGAAGATCTGGTTCCGAAAGCAGTGGCTGATCAGAACTCATATATAGTTCTCCAACCACATTAGAGTATCAGATACTCCACCAACCCAATATCCCCAAAAAAAAAAAAAAAAAAAAAAAAAAAAACCCTAATTAAGGTACAAATTCATATCTTTCTTGATACCCATGTTGACGAGATCTCTTTAAATAATGCCACCGGTTCGATTCCCTGGAATTGCATTGAATCGACAAAATGTCTCAATAAATCCATACAAATTTTAAAAAATGAAATGAAATTAAAAAAGACATCAGAAGGATAACCCTAATTAAAAAGGAAGTGGTTAATAAAAGGAGGAATACCTAAGGGGAGTGTAAATCTGGGAATGGATCAGCGTGATTGAATATGAAAGAGAGGAAAATAGGTTATGACGAAGGAAAAGAGGAAGAAGAAGAAGGAAAATCGTGTCAGCTATTCAGCTCTGGGTTTGGTTGGAAAGGGTGAGAGAGAGAGAGAAAAGAGTGAGGGCATTGCATTGGAGAGAGAGAAAGAGAAAGAGAAAAAATCGGAAGGTGTAAGAAATAGACAGAGAGAGAGAGAGACGGTGAACCACCGATCTAATCCTTTTGCTTTTCTCTTACTTTCCCTCTTCTTTCTCTGTCTTTCTCGTTTCTTCTTCTTTTGTTCGGGCCACTACCACCACCTCCGTTGACACGTTATTCTCTCTCTCCACTTTTTTATTTTATAGGGAACGAATCTACTTAACACCAAAAAAATTTACAACTCTTATAATTAATTTAATCACCGTTTATTTTTGTCAATCTAACAGTTATAATTTTTTGAGAATTAATAACATTTATTGTGTCACATTTATTAATTCTCAATAAATTATAACCGTTAGATTGACAAAAATCAACAGTAGTGTAAGAGTTGTCAACTTTTTTGTTGGTAGGTGAATCTCTCCATTTTAATTATTAATTTCGGTCAAATAATTATAATTTATTAAAAAATAATATTAATTAATAGATTTATATATTATGAACATTAAATTTACGGAAATAAACTTTTAAAATTTAATTATAAGAGGTTATAAGTTAAAGAAGTTATAAATATAATCTCAATTTTTAAGATATTAAAATTAACTTCAACCAATCAAATAATAATTACGTGAATTAGTTATTAAATTATATAATAAAATTACATGTTTGTCATTTTAAATAACAGAAAGTTATGTCATTTCAAGAGAGATACAGACACAGAAAATTTGAATTTTAAATTAAAAAAAACCATCTACTTTCTCTCTCCCATGATTTCCGTTTTTCTGTGTTTATCTCTCTCCTAAAATGATATAACTTATGTCATTTAAAATGACAAATACCAAACCCTAATAATAATGTTTTGATTTAGTCTGATTAACACTTATTTTTATATAATAATAACATTATAATTGAAATATATATTATAAATTTCAACCTAACTGATCGAGTCTTAAAAGTTCAATTAATATATGACTCGACGTTAACTCAATTAATTTTAAATTACATAATTTCAAGTAATTATTTTACATCAAAAGATGATTAAGTAATTGTTTTAATAATAAATATTTAACAATAACTGATCAAAGTCAACCTAACTAATCGAGTCTTAAAAGCTCAATTAATATATGACTCGACGTTAACTCAATTATTTTAAATTACATAATTTTAAGTAATTTTTTACATCAAAAGATGATTAAATAATTATTTTAATAATAAATATTTAACAATAATTGATCAAAGTGGAAGTACATTATGGCCTGAGATAAATTTTGTCTGAGAGGTTTAATTCTAAAATTGTCAATTTGAGAATGACTTTACTTAATTAGTAGTCAGAAAATTTGTGAGAATTAAGAGGAAAAATTCACAATAATTAATTTACGATAACATGATAATGGATCAGCACATAATTAAAGTTGAAGAATCCCCAAAGTTTTTCCAATAAATGAGAAAAAATAAAGATAAAAAAGCTTGAGAGATAATGAACTTATGCTATATTATATTTCTTTTTATTGGGGTCTGAAACATATGTTTATATGAATTTAATAGAGATGATCGTTCCCCCTAAACTAATTCCTCTTTCGTTTCACCATTATCATCACCATCACCCTTAACTGGAAATTGCGGTGAATAGTTTCTAAAAAAATTCAAATGTCATTATAAAATCAGGTTAATAAGTATAATATAAAAATAAAGAAATAAAATAATATGCTGAAATTTAATTTTGGGACTAATTTTTTTTCATGTATAAATCCTATGCTAACTTGATACATTTATTACAAAAATTAAATAATTATTTTCTGTGCATGTCTGGCCTAAAGTTGCCTATTGCGCGTAACACAAATCCTAATTATTTATTTCTAAAAAAATACGCCAAATTAAGTTTTTTGGTTATATTGATTAATTAAATTTGATTATCAATGAAGCAATCCGTTGCTTTCACCGTTTATTATATGTAAAGTCACCACAAATCTTTTATATTTTGCGATGAAAAACAAAGAATACGAATATTTGTAAGCAGAATTTGAATAATGTAAATCCAGCAATAAATTCAATCGATGTTCTCTTGTTAGATTCTTTCATAACTATTTATTGAATATTTTGGTATAAACTGTATATTTATATGAAGGGAACAACTCTTCCAACATTTTGATAAAGGTATCGCTGTGCTATTTTTTGCGTTATGCCTAGGCATTTAAAATAACCAAATTTGTTTACCAAAAAAAATAATAATCCAAATTTCATAGGATTTCAAAAGAACTTATTATATATTTATAGAGGGGGATATTCTAACTACCAAAAATTTCTACTACCAACTTACTACCTATCTAATCACCATTAGATTAACATTTTCTCTCTCTTCAAAATTTTTTTAACATTCTCTCTCTTTGATCCAATGATAATGTGATGTTTAGTAAGTTAGTAGTGACAGTTTTTGGTAGTTAAAATATCCTCACTCAAATTTATATAAACTTTAGACACTTAAAAAATATTTTCTTTATTAATAGTGCATATTAAGGGGAACTCTATTGCCTTTCGGGAATCATTAAGTAACATAGCAGTTAGTGTAATTGGATAAATATATTATATTATTTTTATAAGGAAATTAAATTGATTAGACAAATGATTATCTCTATCCAAATATATATATATATATATATATATAAAGAAAGAGAGAAAAAAAGATAAACATAATCATTCAAAGATGAATCAATTAATATAAAAAAGACATATTTTTTGGATGAACGAAGATAAATATATCACAAACTGCTTAAGAAATATTATACATACATATATATATATATGGGAAATAGAAGTATAATGTTGTAGGAAATTGTTTAGGTTATGTTATAGAGATAGAGATTGTGGGACCTACACTTTTTTATTTTTGAAAAGAAGTGTGGGTCCCACAATTTCTATCTCTATGACATAACCTAAACACTTTCCTACAACATTATACTTCTTTTTCCCTATATATATATATATATATATATATATATATATATATATATATGAGATTTACTAATTTCATGTTACATGAGATAATACTCTTATGTGTAGGGTCGATAATGTATAAAAAAAATTGGCACAGAATTCTATTGATGTATGGCATAAGATAACTCTCTTATGCTACATGAGGCTATTATTTTCATGGGACGGGATATACTTACCACCAAAAAAGTTTACAACTTTTACAACCAATCTAATCACCGTTGATTTCCATCAATCTAACATTTCTAATTTATTGAGAATAATAATTAATTAATAAATGCGACCCAATAATTTCCTATAAATTATAACCGTTAGATTGACGGAAATCAACAGTGATTAGGTTGGTTGTAAAGGTTGTAAACATTTTTAGTGATAAGTATATTTTTTTCCCTATTTTCATATATATAGGGTTTGCATTTGTCATTTAACATGACCATAAAAAATTTCCTACACACACAATATTTTGTGGGGTCTGCATCTTTAGAAGCCAAAAAAAAAAATTACGGCACGCAAAACGAATCTCTATAACATTACACAATCACTTTTTTTACAACATAACTTTTATAAAACCCTATATATATAGGGAGGGGTTATATTTACAACTCAAATAATTTACAAACTCTTACAATCATATCTTAACCGTTGATTTCCGCCAATCTACGGTTGTCATTTATTGTGAATTAGTAATTAATTAATAAATTTGATTTGCGAAAATCTTAACCGTTGATTGACTGAAATCAACGGTTAAGATATGGTTGTAAAAAGTTGTAAACGAAAATAGTTTGTAAATAGAACCTTCTCCATAAATTTCCTACATTCATTAAAGATGGATGAGTCTCACTTCTTTTTTTCATCTCTTCTCTTACCTATGGGTCCCACTTGCAATCTCGTTTTTACAATATAAAATAATTATTTTCTTACAACATAAAAAAATTATTTTCATATATATATGGGAATAACATCTGTCATCTTAAAGGATATAAGTTTATATCATTTTATATCTTAACCGTTGATTTTCGTCTTTCAACGGTTATAATTTATTGGATCAATATTATTATTAATTAATAATAAATTTAGCCCATTAAGTTTGACCCAATAGATTATAACCGTTGATGGACATAAATCAACGGTTAGGATCTAAATGATATAAGTTTATATCCTTTAAAAGAATAGATACATTTTCATATATATATATATATATATATATATATATATATATATATATATATAGGGAGGATTCTTTTGACTCCAGAGTAAGACTTTTAAGTCTTACTCCTCATCTTAGCCGTTAATAGACGGAAATCAATGGTTGTTATTTGTAAAATAATTAATAATTAATTAATATGACTTTCTAAATTATAACCGTTGGATGAATGAAAATCAAGAGCTGAGATGAAGAGTAAGACTTAAAAATCTTACTCTAGAGTCAAATGACCATTCCCTATATATATATATATATATGTTAAGGGATAAGGTAAAGTGGCACAGGTGTCTTGTCCTTTCATGTTATCTTCAATAAAGTGGTTAGTTGCGTATAACTACGAATCCAATAACTACGAATCTACGATCATTGCTTTACTTTTGGCATCCTTATTGGTTTCAGTGTTTTTTCTTTCTTTCTTTTTCGAGATATATTTAATACTCTTTATTTCTACTCCATAAATATAGTAACTGATTCCCCACGCAATGCACGGTTACCTCACAAATAAACATAAATGTTTATTAAAGTAGGGAAACAAACGTGCAAGTATAACATAACGTCAAAAGCTTTAGATAATTGATTTTAAAGAATAGGAGAAAATATTTTTTTTGTCCCTGACAAAAAAAATATGATTCCCTCTTTATTTCCTTAAAAAAAAAAATTAGCTTCCTTAAGAAATTTAAAGTGAACCCATTTTAGTCTTTTTGAGAGATTAATGTGGGTCTTTTTTGAATTTATGAGAAAATACGATTTCAACTAAATGGGTCCACTTTGAATTCTTAGTGACATCGAGGCTATTTTTTTTGTAAAGGACTAAAGAGGGAACCGTGTTTTTTGTTAAGGACCCAAAAGGGTATTTACTCAAAGAATAAATATTTATTTTGGTCCCTGACAAAAAACACGATCCTTATATTAGTCTTTCACAAAAATAATTTGGTTTGGAGGTCCCC